TATCAAAACTACTAAATTCAGTGAAAATCATTACCTTATTTTCAAGATTGTGCCTATTACTAGAACATCCCAAAGAACAGCGTTGGTCAGTTGCTTACACCATATTTTTTTCATATAACACACCTTTTCGAAAAAAGAAAAACAGCTGCTAGAAATTAGCATGTGCAGTACGTGCAAGGAAATACAGTAAGAGCAGTTTCTACTATGGGCTGAGCAGAAGCAAAAGTTAAGCCTGCACATGTTTGATGGGAGAAGAGAACAGTGAGCAGGTTTGTCTCCCTAGTCCTTGATACTACAAGGAATTTTTTTCTGTTTCATTCTGCCTTTCAGAAACGAGGGCCGTATCTTACTTTGGTGCGTTGTTTTTGAGAGAGTCTGGTATTCCCCAAGGGTTTTCTTTTAGTGAGGGCCTTAAATGATTTCAGTGTTGCCTTTCCCAATCACTGTAGCTATATCTGAGTCAGATTTAAACTAGGTAGCTTGAGTACCAATAACAATCCTTCTGTGGCAGTGTAGAGACCAGTGTGATTAATTTATTCTATTTTTCAGGTGCATGTGCAGCCCATAGAGCCCTAGACTGCTTGCAGCATGCGAGTTAGTTTGCGTATATCTTCACTCTGTAGAGCTGCAGTGTTGAATTCTAAGCAGCTGAAAATAGTGTTTCTTGATTGTAGGTCCAGGCCTTGAGAATCCACTTTGCATACTAGGTCACCTTGGAAGACTTTTAATGACTCAGAGTTGTCTGTGGTAGTGATAAAATAGCACTAGCATTTTCAGAGTCAGTGGCAGTAATTCTTCAGTATAATGTGGAAATTCTTGTTTTCTTAACTATGCTGTAGTATATAGCTGTTAATTTTAAAATAAACTTTCCATAAATAAATTAAATTATTTGAGTACAACGTTCTTTGGATAAAGGTGATATCTTTTATCGGACCAACTAAATAGTTGGAAAAGTTGTTCTTTGCAAGCTTTCTAGTACAAACACCCTTCTTCAGGCACGGGGAGAGTTTGTTGTTTCTTTGTGTTGTGTTGTCTCCACACAAAGCACACAAAGAAACAATAAATTCTCCCTGTAATAAAAGGGAGAATAAAAGATATCGCCTGTACCCAAAGAACTTTGTGTGCCTATGTCCTTAGACCAACAGAGCTACAACCAACAACCCTAAATTATTTGACTGAATGTAGCAAATGCTTTTTGCCCCAAGCTATGGTGCTGTTAAATAGATGTTATGGTTGGAAATGCCCAGTGTCATTGTCAAACTTGCTAAATTATCTAGTTTAATAAACATAGTGGTTTTTTGTAAAAGAAAAAAAAACAAACCAAAAAACAAACAAACAAACTCTAGAAAAAATCTCTGGAAAGCAAAATACTGTGTAATTTCAAGTATATTTTGGGTCTCAATGTTGTTCTACAGTTTCTCTGCTTGATGGCACAGTATTCTCAGTCTAAAAGACAATAAGATAATTTGGAAGCAGGTAGCTGAACAATAGTTCAAAGGAGGAGGCAGTGCTAGAAAATACTGGCTGGTTTAATAGGTGCTCCTGATGGATCTCAGATTACTTCAGAGGAAAACCAGGATCAAGAAATGACAACCGGTTGGAGATTTCCCTGTCCCAAATAACTATTTGAACCAAATTTGCATGACGAATTTTCAGAGGAACTAGCTGAGATAACCCTCAGTAAGCTTGTGGGGGGGAAGGGGGGGTTGTTGTTGGGTTTTTTAGCTCTGCTTCTGTCAACTCTGGCACTATTCCTAAATGAATTACAAAAACATCAATATATCCAGCTAAGCTGTTCTAAACAAATATGTATTAACAGAATTAATTTGTTTAGAGATGGTACTCATGCAAACTTCTATAAGAAAGTGTCTTTACACATAGAAAAGTATAATGTAGATCTATGTTCTGCTCCTAACATGTACCTTATGGCTTTTTTCCTTAAATCCTTTGAAGGTTTTTCTCTATTCTGATGTGCAGAAATGTATACTAGAGAAAATACATAAAAATAAGGTTGAACACTATTATTGAGTACTAAACCATTACTGAAATAGCACTGTAGATGCAACTCTGTTCCTGAATCTCAGGGGAAACTGATACACAGATTTTTTTCATGTAAAAATCACTCCCATATGTCTATTATAATAAACCAAATCCTGATTTGATTGATTTATATAACATAGTTTTTAGTTTGCAAGTGAAGAATGAACAAGGTAGGGTAGCTCTGGATGGAGATTGTGAACGATTAAAACATTTTACCTGTGTGCCATCACTTAGCCAGCAGAATTGTAGGGTGGTTTGAGTGCAACTTCTTATGGTTTTGAACATGACTATTAATGAGGATAAAGGTGTTTCTCTTAAATGGGTAAGGGCACCAATAGTGACCAACTAGAAATATATGTTTAAAGCATTGGTTAGCTTGCTGGAAGTCTTAAGTATGAGGACTTGTTAACAGGTCGGCCAAATTCCTGTTTTTAGGAGATGTCAATACTACTGTCCCAGCCATGTTGAAAGCTGCTGCTGCTACTTTTTGTCAAGACAGTCTCCATGTGGAATGCCATTTAAAAATTGATACGAAGGAGCTTTCATACTCTAACACTTTTTCTTTAAAAAAATTTTTTTTCTAGCTACAGGCCATTTAAAAGCAAGTTTTAGGAAATAGAAATCAATAAAAATGTCATAGATTTCATAGACATTAAGGCAGAAGGGACCTTGCAAGATCATTGGGTCCAGCCCCCTGCCCAAGGGGCAGGAAGTCAGTGGGGGTCAGATCACCTCAACAAGATAATGATCCATGCATTTCTTAAAAGGTATCCAGAGTTCGCACCACTTCTGGGGGGAGCCTAGTCGAGATTTGGACGGTAAAGAAGTTTTTCCTTATGTCCAGTCTAAAATGGTCTTCCAGCAGTTTGACAGTTAGACCTTGTCTTCCCTTGGGGTGCCCTGGTGAACAGACATTCTCCCAGTTCCTGATGCACACCCCTGATATACTTATCGGCTGCCAGCAAGTCACCCCTGATCCTTCGGTTCTCCAGGCTGGAGAGTCCCATGCCTCTCAGACTCTCCTCATAAGGCAGGGATGGGCAAAATGTGGCCTGCGGGCCACACGCGGCCCACCAGACCATTCTATCTGGCCTGCGGGGCCCCTAAAAAAATTTAGAAAATTAATATTTATCTGCCCCTGACTGTCTGTCATGCAGCCCTCGATGGCTTGACAAAACTCAGTAAGCATCCCTCTGTGTGAAATAATTGCCCGCCCCTGTCATAAGGCCTGTTCTCTTGACCTCTAACCATGTGTGTGGCTCTCCTCTGGACTCTCTCAAGCTTCTCCATGTCCTAAAGTGTGGAGCCCAGAATTGGATGCAGTACTCCGGATGCCTTTTTGTGTCTTGCTTGAGATGCATTGGTAGAGATGCAAATCATGCAGCAAACTTTTACTGATTTCCAGGAAACCTACATAAGCAATAATACAAACTTACTTGTTAAATGTAAATACTTTGAATCATTCTATGAAATGTTATCATTTTTTAAATGTCATTCTTAGAGGATTTTGGACATCTTTGATATGAATAAATGCTTCTAAAGTTTATTGGACAGTTGCTATTTTCACTCTTCCCTATATACACATAGCTGAGTGAAAATTGATATGCATGACTTGCATGAGTATAATTGGAACAAGCAATGCTCTTGGACAGTCCAAGTGAGGAAGCAAAGAACTGAAAATATATGGATAATGTGCTGCTTTTTCTTCCGCTCAGTGTTCTGGGCAGTGGGGCACGAGAGATGCTTGCTTTTCTATATCACTGTTGATACAATAGCAGTTATATGGTTAAACTGAACTATTTTCTCTAGCTTGTTACATTAGCACTAATATAAACTAGCATATTCTTGTGCAGCATTTTGAATAAGATTATTTTTGGTAAGAATTAAAAAAATATCAAAGGTAACTTTCACAGAGGTCTGTGGATAAGCAAGATGATTGGGCCTCCTGGCAGTGATGGTAGTTAAACCATGTTAACACATGTTAACAATCAGGATGCTTGGTATACTGTATATAACTTCTAACAGATTTGTTTTTCCATGAGGTCTGTGTAAGGAGGTCTGTGAGCATTTTTAACTACTAGATTCATTAAGGAACCTTCCAGGGAACCTCTCTGTATTAATGTAAACCAAGTGGGCTGAAGTTTATTAGTTTTTTCTGGCTACTTCTACAACCTCTAACTAAGAAATTAACTTTCTTACCATGTCATGCAGAATATTCTCGTTAACTAGGCAAAGGAACAATCAGCAGTGATTTAAAAATAAAAACATTTAAGTCCCCTAATATTTGGTTCACTGGCTATGTTGTGATGTCCCATGTTTCGAGAGAGGATTCTGAATACTGCAGCTACTAGCAAACTGCAGGAGCAGTGAATAAAAATAAATTTTGAAGTGACACAGATTTTGGAAGGAGGAGAGGTTTTTTGTTATGCTATTTTTTGTCATCTCTCTTTGATCTCTTTGAAATAGCATGGTGAGCTGTTCTAGGCTGCCTCGTCCCATTAAATGAATTTCTCGCAGTGGGGTGCTGAAGATGTAGATAGATAAATCCTAGTGTCCCTTACTGAGCACATTCAGATTGGTACTTGTAGACAGGCCTTCCACTGCCTAAGCAGCCATTAAGTACTTAACTGTATTTGTGCTATACCAGTTAGTTTTTTTATTGAGACTCTCTCGAAATATGTTTTGGTTTTCTTGTCCATTGGTTCCAGATCAAGGTAGTGAGATAAATTATCTGATTGATAGTTATATGGTGTGAATTAAACTGGCTAGTGGAATAGTTCATACCTCTTTATTTTTAATTGGGTCAACATTTGGTGTGTATTTATGCTTTCTGTTTCTTAATATTATTGCTAGGTTAATTAATATGGCTTCTAATTATTTTGAATAAGTAATGTCCAACTAAACTTTATAATAGCCTTTAAGAGAGCTAGCTTGCTAATGACACATTCCTTTTGCTACAGGTTATTTCTTATGAGAGTAACGGACATACCATACCTGAATTTGGAAGGACCAGACTGTAAGTAGTTTGCTTTGCTTGTTTGCTTTTCCTTTCATCTTATCTTGAATTTATCACTTCTCAAGTAAAGAAGTTCAACCACATGAGCAAGTGCAGAACTTCTGTTTGTTATTTTAAGACAAATCCATGTGACGATTTTCAGAGGAACTAGCCAAGATAACCCTTGGTAGGCTTGTTGTTGTTGGGGGCGGGGAGAGGTTTGCTTGTTTGTTTGTTTTTTTTAACTGCTTCCCTCAACTGTGGAATTATTCCTAAATGAATCACAAGAACATTAATATCTCTAGCTAAGCTGTCTTCAAATGTGTATTAATGGAAGTAATTAGTTTAGAGATGATACTCATGCTGACTTCTGTAAGAAGGTATCTTGACACACAGAAAAGTATGGTGTAGGTCTGTGCTTTGCTCCTAACATGTACCCTATGGCTAGAACACAGGAATTCAGTCACAGTTGAACCATATTCAAAATTAACAAAAAGTCTAAATTTACTGATGCCCTTTTTATAATAAACAAATGCAAAAATAATTCAGTACGTTTGTAACTTTGGATGGAGTATCTTCCCTATGCATGAAATACAACCCAAAAATGGCTTAATGAGATCAGATTGTACTTTCTGTGGCAAGTTTAGTGTAGTTGAAGATAACATGTTTGCCCTTTATACTAACTGCCTTTCTTTGATAATAGTAGCCCAAAGTAATATTTACAATCTTGAAGTTTTGCAAGATGGCCAGTTTTATTTTTTGCAGTTAAAGAATACATGGTAGTGAATATTTAACTACTTAATAATTTCACTTAAAACATTCTGTTTGTAACATTGCTTAGCTTTAGCCTAGATTTTCAGACCAAATGCAGTTGCAGCAATATTGGAAGTGGTGAAAATTAAATCTTAAAGCAGTGGTTCTTAACTGTTTTAGACTCAAGGCACTCCTCCATAACTTTTCAGAATTTATCACTGCCCTGTATCAAAAATTTACTTATTACAGTGCTTACCTTTTCATATCTGGTGTGTCCTTGATAGGACCGTGTGGGTCACCAGCTGAGAATCAATGATCTAGCAAATGCTTCCATCATTCCTGCAGTGGGGATGAAGAGAGCAGACATTTGCTTCTTGAAATTTTGCATCAGAACTAAATGTCTGCAAAGAATTTGTTGTTACTGCACCAGTTAGCACTAACACTCACTAGAGAGACTCTCAAAAGTTAATGTTGCTGGCAAAATTGGGGCTCAGATGGACCCAGCCCTCCCACAAGCCTCTAGGACAGGGGCAGGCAAAATATGGCCCATGGACTGCATCCGGCCCATGGTGCCCACCAATGAATTGTACCCTGCCCAGCCCTTCTGCCCACGAGGATGGGAGCGAGGCGCCCATGTACCCAAACATACCCTATTGCGCGTGAATGCCACGTGACCCTGGAGGCTGGGGGACACAGCGAGTTCCTGCAGGCGGCAGCAGCACTGTCAGCGGTGGGAGCATGGCAGTGGTAAGCGGGGAGCTCCCGCAGGTAGCCGCAGCACTGTTGGCAGTGGGAAGGGGAGGTGGCGAGCACCCTTAAAAGGATCTCCTGCTACCCCACTTGAGAATCATTGTTATTAAAATAAAGTCAGTGACTGAACACAACGAAGTGGCTCCATGATTAATCAAAAGCAAAACTTTGATTAAGATCAATAAGACTCACAGGTGTGGAATCTTGATAGTTTGAGATGGAAAACACAATGTGGAAACCATCATGCCATACAAATGTTAGATATTTGGATGCCTTATCTTGATACATCCACTTTAAAGCTATGTTCCAAGGTGATTCTAGTTTTTGATTATACAAAGGCTTAATTTTAACTTAGGGAAGCTTAATATGTAAATGCCTAAAATATTTTTGGCGAGACAAGGGTTTTTGTGAGCGATTTATCTTTTATTGCATAGTTGGGCTAAAGTTAGACAAGTTTTAGAAATGCAGGGCATTTTTCATTCATAATTCCTGGACCATCATTGTTACATCATCACTGCAACATTACCTAACCTATTTTTATTTATTTAATTAAAAATAAGTGGTTTAATAAGTGGTTTATAAATTCTTCTACCAATTAACATTTTTCTTGTTTTGATACCTTTTTTCTCTGTGCACTGAATGAAGAATGTCCTTCTCTAACAAGTAGTCTTTCAATAGCTTAATTGAATACTCAGAAGGAGGTGGTTGTTGCTTGAGAGAGAAATGTTAATTGTGAAAGTTACAAGTCTAATTATTTATGAATATGGAATATGACTATAGCAGTAGCCATAAAATAACTAACTATCTGGGGTTATTGAAGTGGTTTTTGCTTATATAAACTTCAGTGTTAAGCCTTTAGTTGGGAATGTAGCACCCTTTTTCTAGGATAGCAGTTTGCCTGTACTATGTCAGGGGTCATTAAGAAATGATATCTCAGCTGCTAAACTGTGGAGTTACTACTTCCAGGTGCTGTCTAATTACAAGACATGTTTTGTTGTCTCAACTTGGGAAAGAACGCTTAACAGTTTGTCTCTCTAAAGCGATAAAGACAGTTGTCTGAGAGCTGTTTGCAAAGGGAAAAACTGATGGAGTCTTCTGGAGGTCTGAGGTAGTTAGGCATTCCTAAACTTCCAGAGGGACGATAAGCTTAGGGTAGATGATCAGTTGGACCTTTTTTTCTCTGTTCTCCTATAAAAATTAAACAAAGTTGAAAAATCTGCCTGACCACTTCTCACCTCTGCTGCCTGCTAGGTAAATTCCTGAAGGTTTGCCCCCTGAAAATCTTCCTTATTTGGGCCTTCTGGGTATATATGGTCCACAAGGTAGCCCAATGTAAAACGGAGAAATCATGAGATAGCCCAGGGCCCAATGTAAAAGGGAGATGGCATGTGATGGTATTATAGTTGGGTAAAGGCATGCTTAGGGAAAGGGTCAGTTGTAGTTAGTCTTGTAACTAATGTAAGTATTGTTCCCTTTATGACAACTTTTAAAACAAACTGCTGTGAAAGTTTTTGGTGAATAATTTAATAACCCATTCTACTTTCTAGATGTGTTGAATAGGTGTTGTGGAATACTAAAATCATGAATAGTCATGTGTAAATATCCTTGACTTAAACTAATTCTAAGGCCTTGTTATTTATCAAAGGGAGGGTTCAAAGTGCAGTAAAAGAAGTGTGAAAGGTAAAAATTGATAACCTTTATTCAGTGAGGATTATAATTATTTTATAATGTTCTCATTTTTCCTACTTTGTATATAAACAGATGTTGTTTAAATCTACATCTTGTGTTCTAGAATTAATTTTACATTTTTACAATTTTAAGTATGATGCACCGATTTAAAAAAAAAAAAAAAAAAAAAAAAAATTGAATTGTTTGTTTACCCTGATCTCTGGCACACCAGAAGAAATAGCTCTTCCATAATCCTATATTTTAAACGTATCTGTTCTTTTAAGTGGGGCTATATTCATCAGTAAAATTTGAAATAATATATATAAAATGTTCATGAATGTTTATTTCCCCCTCTTAAGTAGAGACTTTAAACATTGCCATGAATAATATGTCTGAATGTCATTCCAGTATTGTTTGTCTTGAGCTTATTTAACATGCTTTTTTTGTTTGTGTGTATGCAAGGTTTTTTAAGTTACTAAATTTCAACTGAAATCTGAAAAAATTACTTACAATATTCCTGATTTGCATTTTTTTACAAATGTTACCATCTTAAACTGTCATAGTATTAGCAGTTTCTAGAGAAATTCTGCGTTTTTTAAAATCAACTGACCATACAGGGGAGACAGCAATAAATGCCTTGAAAATAAAGATCCAGTTTGGTCAAGATGAATGAGCCACACGCTAAGCAGTACTTTCACTACTTATGATATTAATCACATTAATCATGCAGTATATTGGGCAATATTGTTGGGGTCACAAAATAAAAAATAGGGTATAATTATGTAGGGCTATTTGACTTGGGATAGAGTATTTCCATTGACAGAGTCACAGCAAGCAAATGCTACCTTGGAATTTTACAAGGGCGGATAGGGCATGTCAGTGCTTTAGTCCTCATGCAGTCAGTAATGTATTTTGGTAAAAAGTTGTACTTTTGAGCCAGTTTTCCTTAAATAGTTCACTGAAAGCTTCTGCTGCATAGTATGGGCTTCTGGCAATATAGTAAACGCTATCCTATGCATCAGATCTCTTTTTAGGTAGCACAGAGAAGAGTCATTGTGTTGCCGTGTCCTGGTTAAAGTAGGACACTGAGGATTCTAAGCAAAGGGGTTACTGCATTTGTTTTTGGAAATGCTGTTATACAGTAATCTCTAAGGGTGTATGCACTCACTCATGCAACGCAATGCTGGGTGCTTTTGAAAACACCCAGTGCTGCGTCACATGCATTTATATAAATGGTGAAATGCACATCAGCGCTAAGAAAATGCCGGTAGCATGCTTTTTCAAAGGCGTCTTAGTTTCAAAGCACACGGCCACCATTTTCTTAGTGCTGACGCACAGTTTGCCATTTATACAAGTGCAGCGCTGGGCGCACCAGTTCACATGCTCCGCAGACTCGATTAATCGAATCTGCTCCAATGCATTAGATTTCCAGCACATTGGAGCAGACAAATGTACATGTATAAATTCCCTAAGTGAAGAGCAAAATGGTAAAATACAGTTACTGATTTAAGTTGCAACATGAAGAGGTTAGGCACTTTTGGTTTCCCTTTGAATGTGGTATAAGAGGGGCTGGAGACAAAGCACCAAAATGTGGAGAGCTTTGGACAGTTTTTGTGGCATGCACAATTTTCAGTTTCACATACAGATGAGTCAGTTGGACAAACTGACTTGTATAAATATAGTAACTCTGTGCAGTTATCATAATCTTAATCAAGGTTTAAATGTAAAGCTTTCTCTTTACTTTTTTTTTTTTTTACATTTTAGATAAATAACACCAATTCATATCTTGAAAAAATAATGGGTAACTGGTTTTATTAAATGCTTTTTTTTACCTCTTGCAGTGCAGCCAAAACGAGATCATGTTCTTCATGTTACGTTTCCCAAAGAGTGGAAGACCAGTGACCTTTACCAGCTCTTCAGTGCCTTTGGTGAGTAATGCTTACCCTTTCCAAAAAATTTCTCATGGGTTTCCATGGGTTCTCCATAACACCAGTTTTTACACTTGCTTCAAAACTTCTAAATAAAACCATTTATGATTTAGGTCTCATACAGTTGTTCGGTTTCTCCTGGGAGAGTCACTGCTTTCCCAGGAGAAATCACGAGTGAACAGATGTTCAGGCTTTTTCTCCCATGGTAAAAATGGCCGCTACAAGAGAAAAATAACACCCAGCCTTAAATCATTCCCAGGAGTTTCTCCTGGGAGAGCAAATAGGTTCATAGATGCTAGTGTCTGTACATGCCGTGGCTTGTCTCAGAAGAGAACATAATCTTTCAGTGTCTCCCTTCCCTTCAAGTGTGTCCCTTGCTGGATTCTGCTGCTCCAGTAAGAGGCAGAAAGCACCCCCTTTAAAATCTGCACGTTGTGCTGCAGGGAAAAACAGGCTGACCGTGAGCAGTCTGCGTCTGCCAATCAGAGCTGTTGCCAGGCAGACTAAGGAAGGCTTCAAAACATCCTGTGATTTCCACGCCCCCCCAAATATTCAAATGTCTGTACATGTGGCTCTGGGTAAGTTTCTTTACCAGGAGAGCAAACCTGGGAGAAGTCTCCCAGATTATTTGAATGTGTGTCCACCCAACTGTCAGTGCTTTAAAAAGGCCCTGCTAGTATTTTATCTATTAAAGAACTGTTATCAACTTACTTCAACTAAAAACAGGTTTCAGTCTTACAGCTTGGTGTTATAGAAACTGGACCTCTCACTTTTTGAAAGTAAACCAATGCATGATATTTTAGAGTTAAGGTAAATAGACTAGCATTTGATTAACTACACTGATGTTTCAGGCACTTACTATTTAAGACATTTGGGTGTCAGAAAATCAGAATTCAGTGGCTGTGGGGGGGGATTCATTGCATGCTTTCACTTGTATGTATGATTCTGCTTCGGGTGGGGATTCATTGCAGGCTTTCACTTGTATGTATGATTCTGCTTCGGCTTTACTCTAATCCTCCCACTGATGGAGCAGATACACACACCCTCCCTTTTTCTCTCAAATCTAATCCCAGAAGTCTGAGCCTCAGAATTTGCTGACAGCGTCTGGAAAGTAGCTTTCATGTGGTGCTGGGTTTTATTTAAACTTGATAAAACTGCTTTATGACAGCTAAAAATATAAATCAAATATAATTCTTGTAAGTAAATGTAACCACAAGAATATTTGATCTCCAATGAGAGGAGACACGCTTGCAATGTATTCTTTGCTATGCAAGTTTGAGGCTGTGTTTGGTTCATACCATTGCCATGTTCTCTTCATGTGGCAGGATCTTTATAAATAAAGATTTCATGCTACTCAAAATTTTGCCCTCCTTTACATCTGGATTTGAAAATATATCATGTTTTCTTGGTTCTAAGCCTTTGGGGTTATGTGGAACTAAAAAGTGTACGCTTTTTATTTTATTTTCTCTTCCACGCTATGCTGCTAATATACTGGCTGGTTCTTAGTATTCTGATTTGGGAAGTTGGGTGTACAATGTTAGCTTAACCATAGAGATTTTCTAGAAATGCATAGAATGAAGAATTCTTTGGATGTGTACATTATGAGTTGTGAATTCTTTGTTTCTTCAGAGAGCATCAGTTTAGAAACTACAGGGTGCATCTGCACATGCAGTTTGAAGCAATAAACTCTGGAGCAGTTTGAGCTGGAGTAACCTACTCCTAGGCTCAGTGTCTATACATGCACCCGGAACAGCAGCAATTTGACCTGGGGTGGAACAGTTTATGCTAGGGTTGCTCCTGCCCTGCTCTGCCATGGGCTTTGGATAGTGGCAGAAGGGGCTGGCTGGGGCATGAGGGTGCTGAAAGTGTGGAGCTATGTGGCTAGGCGGCAGGCAGGAATCTGGCCCCCTTATGCCTAGGTTGATGGCACAATTTATGCCGATGGTCAGTGTCTACACATGTATTTCATTACTCTGCTGTAAGATAGTACTGACCCTGACAGTACTATCTTACGGCAGTGTTAGTTTACTGCAACCTAATACCCTCTCTCATGTAGATGGGGACACTTTACTATACAGCTAATTAGTCTACTCCGCAGTAAGTTGCACATGTAGATATGGCCACAGAAACTCCAGATCTGGTGTTGGATGCATTTCCTTTCATAGTGATAGCATGTGTTGCAGACATTGTTTATGGCCACTAGGGGTCACACTTGTGCAATACTATTTAATTTAGGAAACCGAGTCCTTTGAGAAATAATCACCTAGTACTTAGAGTACACTAAGACAGAGCACTTGAGTTCTTAAGAATTCGGAGTCCATTTACAGTTGATTAACTTAATTTTCTCAGCATCCTAGGAGTCATACTATCTAGTACAGACAGAGGAAAAAAATGAGGTAAAATGAGACTGAGAGAGAGTGACTAGTCAAGAAATGTCAAAGCAAGTCAGTAGTCCTGACAAATCAGATCTTCCTACTCTTCCAGCTTAGCAGACAATTGTTTTTTTTTAAACAAGGACTTCTGGCAGGGGTGGGTGATAGTTAAAATTTAAATAAAAAATAATTAGGTTAAAATATGAGCTCTTTAATTTCATAATGTTATTCACTTTTAACTTCATAATAAATAAATGTCTTAAATGTTTGGTCTAGTGAGAACAATGCTTGTAATAAACACTTGAGACTTGCCAGTGAGCCACTGCAGTGTTTAAAGCAAGAGGATGCAGGCTGAGATTTACTGCACTGAAAAAGACATTCATGCTTTTAATGTTTCATGCTGCATACCAACTATGCACCTGTTCATAATATAAGATTTTTTATTTTATTTTATTTTATTTTTTTACAATCTTATGGCAGACTGTTTTAAAGCATTCCTATTAGAAGCACTGGTCAGACCTAAAAGCAAAGAATGGGCAATCTCCTAAGAGTCTTCTTTTCTTTCATTTCTTTTAGGGCTTGAATTGGTATAGAATACTTTAATACTTGTCACTTGATGACAAGTCTGACGGTACTTAAAATAACATTTTATGCTAGTCATTGTAGTTCTTGTTTGTTGTTTCATTATCAGCTAAGGAAACACTTTCAGGTGTTTTGGATTCAGTCAGTGTATCATCAGATTGTTATCACCAGAATGAGCGAGTTTGATTTAATCAGACCTTAACATACAATTTTACCGAGATAAAAAAAACCCTGGAAAGAAATGAATGATGGGGGTTTTTTTTTTTTCTATCGGAGCTTAGTGAACATCAAAGTGTAAAATGCACAAATGACAAAATATTTTTAAAAACTCCGTTTTAATAATTGAAGCTTTTACATAGTGACTTGAACATTTTAATAGGCCTGCTTTTTAAAAGCAAAGCCTTTGTACTGCACACCTACAGTTCCCGTTGGTGCTGCAAGTACACAAGTACTGAGGCAACAGTTTCTTTTTCAAGTGTTAATCAACGGTGATGCATTAAAATATTTATATCCATGTCCTGAAGTCAGTGTTTAAAGGTGGTTAGCTTGCAATTTAAAGATGAAGTAATTACATCATGATTTTGGAAGTGAACTGCCTAGTTAAAAAAATGAAAACTTTAAATACAATGGTAGTAATATGTTCTGAATACCATTCATATACCAATTTGTCCTTAACATTTTTGCATTACCATCCTGGGGTAGACTTTCTAAACATTTTTCTGCTGTCTTGTCATCTTGGTACTCTGTCCTCCCTTCAGGAAGGTGAATTGGCTTATTAATCCTTCTCAGCTATTCAGTGAGCAAATATTGTTTGCATTACTCTACAAGTATGTGTCTTAATTGCCTGCTCTCCCAAGGTAAATGTGTTAAACTCGTTTTACTGTCATGCAAAACGGGCAGAAACTGCTGCAGCTCTATCATGTTGAATTAAATCATTACCTATGTAATAATTTTTTTTTTTTTTTTTAGCATGAAAGCCGAAGAAAATAATTTTAGGGAATGCTACTATCCATGCTGCTTGAGTAAAGTATTCTGTCAGCATAATCAGTCCGAGAAAAGTAGTGCTGGGAGGGACCTCCAGAGGTCATCTAGTACAACCCCCTGCCTGAGGCAGGATCATCCATATCCAAATCAATGTGACCCAATCCACAGTCTAAACCAGGAGTAGGCAACGGTTTTTGGCCAGAGTGCCGAAAAAACCACAATGTCTACCTTGGAAGGTGCTGGAGTGCTGGCATGTCAGAAAAACAAAATGGGGGGGAGGGGAGTGTACATGGCAGGCTGCACTGCATATTGGTATATTTAATAATCATAAATGTTGCCTTTGTTGTGTATTCCTTTTTTGTTGAGCATGTTGCAATGAGACAGAAAAAAGAAACAAATAAGCAAAAGAGGAGAGCAGAGAGAGAACCAGACACGCACACAGAGAACCATGTGCACAAATGCAGAGAACCAGAACATGCCCAGAACAGACACATACACACACATCCAGAACCAGACACGCGTGCGCGCACAGACGCACAAGACCAGACGAAGGCAGACAAATGCGCAGAACCAGATGTGTGGGCACATGGAGCTGGGCTCCTGTGCCATTGGACAAAATCCACTCTGAGGCGTGTGTGCACCTGCTGGTATGGAGCTAATGCTGGATCCCAGAGCAGATGTTTGTAGCCTCCTGGCTGCAGCTGGCCCTGGTTCTGGGTAGCTGCTGCCAACCACAGCAGGGCTTGCAGTTGCCCAGCTGCCTGCTGGGAGCAGCCCAGGCTTAGTGGCTGGCAGCAGCTGCCTAGATCCCAGGTCGGCAGTGGTGTGCCGAGCAAAGTGACCTCATGTGCCGTGCTCGGCACGCGTGCCGAGAGTTGCTGACCCCTGGTCTAAACTCTACTTAGAACCTAATGCCCTAACCCGCCACAGGTAAAGCAGGGGAGCCACAGCAGCCAACCTCCTACATCTATGAAATGTTGTCAGTATATGTTCAAGGGATCCTGGGTAGAGGGCCATGCTTCCTCCCCTCTTCCCCCTGCAACGGAGGAAGACAAAGACCCC